TCGATCGATTATTTAATTTGGCTTCTCCTCATGAAGAGAAAGAAGAGAGAACGCCACGTTCGCGTTTATTTTTGCGCTCTCTTCCTCTCGTACGCGATCGTTAAGAGAACCGGTTGTTCCTTCGCCGATCGTCCGAGGCGTGTATCCGGGAAGTACGTCGAAGGCGCTCAGACGTCCCGGCGCCGTCGTTTCACGTGCGGCGCCGCACGCAAGCCCCCTAAGCACCATTAGCCGCCGCCGTACCCGACCTCTGAAACTAATCCTCTTCCCCGATCGCCAACTCGACCGATCGCGTAACCCCTTCGCCGTCTGATTCTCGATAACGAAGAACGGTCATCGCCTGCTTATCGATAGCAGCGAGACCGATAAACTCGTTTCGTCTATTAGAGCTTTATCTGAGACACGCGCTATCGTCTTTCCGCATCAGAAGAGTCTAATCGCAATTAATTATATCGTCGCTTTTTTGCTATCACTCGACTTATATTCCTCTCAGTTTTACGGGGCGAGATACGAGCTGTTCGATTTCTTTTTTTATAGTTCGCTTCACGCAAGACGTAAGATAAAAATATTGTAGCGTGTAAAATATTTTTTACTTTTTTAAATCTTTTTTTAGTGTAATATTCTATAATTTATCACCGTACAAATGGGAAGAGAGAGAGAGAGAGAGAGAGCGAGAGTACGTTTGTTAACGGAGTCGGGATTTAATTAATCGAACGCGGTCTTTTTTTTTTTTAAGAAACGTTCTCTCGCGTGAAATAACGAGATAAAGTTACAGCGTGAATAAGAGATTGGAAGTACGGCGAGTCGAAAAATCTTGACCTTACTCGTCTCGCCGCCGCCGCCATCTTGTGAACGTCGTTAAGCTTAACGACCGCTTTCGGAATTGCCCCGGCCTTTTTTCGCCATAACGAGACACGGCACTTAGTTCTTCGCACCCCATTCTCCCATGGTTTCCCGTGCGAAGAGACATTCAAGTCCGTAACTTCATTGTTATGTGGGGGGGAGGGTGACGCGAGAAGGGATGAAGCGAGAACTTTAACTTCCGCGCCTCGCATAATCGCGCGCATTCGAGAAATCGATTAACCGTTTGAACTTCGTGATAAGAGCTCGGTTGGTGGAGAACCATCTCGTTCTACGGTTCACCCCTTTATTGCGACTGTCATATGTGGAATAAAAAAAAGAAGCAGATTTTGCGCGAAACAAAAAGTACGCGCTTTACACGTCCACTTTTCTCGATTTGGTGTGAATAGCGCAATGTTTCTTTTTTTTTTTTCAATTAGAAATTTATTGAGTTAAAAAATTCAAGTCACATCCCGGAGATATTTCTTCGAATCGATCATTGATTCTGGAATACAAGTTTTTAGGACACTTAGCAATTTTTTTTTTTTTCTTTGCGTATTCGCGTCACTTATTCATTCATCGAGAATCAAGCTTCTCGGAAAGAAAAACGGCGTCTCTCTCGGCGAGCAAAAGTGGCGCGATAACAACCGGACGGTTGTTTCGCCACCGATCGAACTTCACCGCCGCCGCTCACTCGGCACGCGCCCTTCGCTCGCGAAGAAACAAAGGAAGAGAGAGAGAGAGAGAGAAAGATCGAAAAGGGGATGGTTATTCCACGTCCATGAGACTTAATATTCCGTAGGAAAAGACTTACGTAAGGACGGGCAAAGAAGAAAGGCGCACGGTAAAAACCCGCAACTCACCCCCGTCGGCTTCTTTACCTACACTCGCTCGAGCAATCGATAGGGTGACTCATCGAGGGCGGTGACAGAGCTTTTTACTCCCTTCTTTTTCTTCTTCCTCTTCTTCTTTCGCCCCTTTTTCTATCTCCCGCCCGCGGGCGCTCTCTTCTCCATCCTCAACTTCGTTCTTTCGACCTCGCTCGCTTCCGGGTGTCTCTTATCCTTTTTTTTTCTCTCTCTCTCTCTCTCTTTCCAAGCCCGTCCTAAACTTTGAACTCTCCGCAGAGCAGCCTACTTTTTTAGTCGGAACATCCGCGTGTGTGCGCGCGAGTTTCTTACAAAGCGAAACAGGACCGCGTTTTTTTTTTTCCCGCAACTGCGCCGCTCTTGCTCTGCAAACTGGAACGCGAGCTCCGGTCTCGTCCGCAGCCAATTTGTCGCTCTGTCGAGATCGATTCGCCTCAGCTTTCCTCACGAAAGTCACGTGTCTCCAACCTACATTTTCACGTCCGCAGCGTGTGAGAGAGCGTTTTATTTATTTAATTTACTTCTGCAACACACAGAGATATCTTATATTTTTCTATTTATTTTTTGTAAAATATAGATTATTAAGGTTTGTGTTCTGTTACCTCGAACAAGTCAGAAGTGCTTCGCTGCATCGAGCGAAATTTTCGATTTCACGTAAAGTTCGTCTAATCTGCGTTCGAAAAGAGTTTTCCGGGGGTGTGGAGAGAGGAGTGAAAATTTGAGCGAATCTGTGTTCTCTTTGCGGGAGTGAATTTCGGAACGCATCATGAAACAACTTACGAACACCATCCACATTTCTACGTTATCCTCGCCGCTCTTAATTGTCTCGTTCGCGTAGCCCTTCCCGCGCGGATCCCAACAGGCGTTCAAACTTTAAACTGCTTCATTCCACGCGAAATAACGAGACACGTTCGCAGGCAATGGCTACGGGCACGCTATACGTGTACGCGCGCTTTATAACATAGTACCCTGTGAATCTCTCTTTCTCTCGTTCACAGACAATTCGTTTAGCGAACTGCAACCTTTCGCATCCGTGCCCTTCTTCTTCGCTATTCACAATTATTCGAACTTTTGATATTTCGAACGCAAATACCGCGCGCGCGCATTATTCGGGCGCGAAACGGTCAAGCATTTCAACAAGTTTTACTCTCTTTCTCTATCGTGGAGTTTAACTTTTCGCTGAAATATTTCTCGCATATATGAAAGACGATTTTACGTGTTTTTCCCATTAACAGAAATGAGAAAAAAATTTTTTTTTATTTTTCTCTTAATTATTATTTTGTTTTTTTTTCACATAATTGCTCAGGGTACGCATTTTAAAAAAGATTCAAAAGAGATTTAACTTCTCTTTAAAAACTTGTTACGAGAAGCTCATTAAACGTGACTGAATTTTATTTTCCTTCTTTTTTTTTCCCCCGACATTTTTCTCTTTCTCTCTGCGAACGAACGGAACGAAAGTCCGCTCACGTGAAGGATTTTTTTAAATGAAAGTTTAACGAGCAACGTAAGGAAGACTTTTCAGAATCTCTCCCTCACCGGTTGTCTCAATAATTTACCACGCTCGTCCCTTTAATTCTCGCATGACGGACGTGTTTTCTCCGTGAATTTCAAATCTCATCTCGTCTTTCCATAGATCGAAATTTATACAGAATGAAAGAGTAACGAGATACACGTAGCACGGAGGGGATACGCGCGTAACGAGTCGCGGAATGTCGTCGCCAGCCAATTTGTCGCTCTTTTTTTCTGATTTGTCTGTCGTTTCCGTCGTTTTGTGGCTTTTTTTTTTTTAATAAACGAAGACGTTCCGAGCTTTTTCTTCCGGCAGAGCGAATATATTTCATCGCGTCTCCTGACACAATAAAACTATGGCACTGTGTGTATGGTTTTGAAAGCAGAGCCTGAGGAATTGCCGCCAAACAATATTTTTTTTGATTCGCATACGTCGTTGCGATGATTTTCCATTCTTGTTTATATTTACGCGGATCTTTCTTCGAGTTTCTCGCAAATTACAATTTTCGTCAACCATTCAAACGAAAATAGCGGATTCGTGAACAAAAATTCAATCGTATTTCGCATATCTCGAGCTTTAAAATAACAATAACAATTTGTTTGGCGATGCAGCAACAAAAAATGTATATTTTTACATCGAGAATTTAATTAGTTTTTAAAAACCATACGTTATTCTACGAACGAGTTTTTTTTTTTTAATCCAGCGGATCGTAAAATTTCTCTTATAATTCAACTCTGTCAGTTTCTCATTTAATTTATTAATACGATCTTGCCTCTCTCTCTCGCGAGATTTAAAGTATTCTTTTATTAATTACCGCAATTACCACACTGTTGGAACGCGTACGAAAAATTAAATTGATCTTCTATAAATCGGATTATCTCACGCTGTTTTTGCACTTGCTATCCCGATCAAAATCAAAACAAAAACAAAAACAAAACAGATTGTTGCACGCGCGCGAACGTTGCTTGAATGACAAAATGAAACCCGATCGATGCGCGCGAAATGAGAGTTCATTGCCCGTTCGCGTCTCGAATCGCAGATTCGTGATTGATATTTGCGTCGTGGCCGCCGTAAACGTCAAGTCGCGGTATTTATTGACGACACAAACAAGGATCGAATAAACACCGCGCGAATTTGCGTTTGGGAGTTTCCTATCGCGCGTTAACATTTGCACTTGTATATTTCTCTTCCCGTCTATTACGATATAACTCCGTCTAACGAACATCTAATGGAGGTTTGTATGTTGTTTAGTGCGGGAGAACAAAAGACGATTCGTTTTGACGTGTTTATCTTCTGAGAATTTTCACGATTTTTCTTTACTCATTTTTTCAAACTCGTCACTTCGCTCGCGTGATGCGAAACGTGTGTGGTGTGTGTGTGTGTGTGTGAGTATGTGTGCAAACGAGAATACACGTTGCGGTATTTCTGATTTCTATAGAAACGGTTTTAACCGCGCGAATTCTCGCTTCGACCGAGAAAAGTTCTCGAGGTTTTGAAAGCGGAAAGAACTCGTGGTGGCGGCGAAATCGATACCGGATGGCGTGAGAGCAACATTGGTAAACGTTAGACTAGATAGAGATTCGCGGATGAAAGAGAGGAAAGAAGGAAGGAAGGAAGAAAGGAAGGGAGAGACGAAGGAGGCCAAGGAGAGAGACTTCGGAGTCTCTTTGCGCGTGTTTTGTTCGCTCGTTGCTTTAACGCGTCGATAAATCGCCTTTTGTCGATTGTTTTGCGAGGTTATCGCGAGTCCGCGGGGACCCGAGTCCTTCCAACATGACAATCGTCACATCGACATGGACTCATTTTGTCGGTTCCTGTGCAACGTCGTTCTCGCCATTGTCGTCTTTCTCAGGATCATCAGTGAGTAGTGTGTGTGTGTGCGAGAAAGAGAGAGAGAGAGAGAGAGAGAGAGAGACGCCGGATTCGTGAAAATAAGCTCGTGTGCGCCAATTCCATTTTTGACAATCGAATATTTTCAGAGAAAGAATTTTAAAACGCAACTATTTTGTTGTGTAACTTTATTAAAAAATTTATTTACGCGAAATTTAGGCTTTGTATAAATTTATTACATCGCCTCAACAAAGAGAGCAGTCGCGTGCAAATTTCCGCGGTTATAGACTCCGTATTATCGAACGGAGGTGTATTTCTGTCAATATTAACAGCGCTGAATAAATTTTGTTAGTATTCCGCGGGAAGAAATATCGGGGATAACCGCGATTTCTTGATATTTAACTTGGCTATCTATTACGAACGAGCTTAAAGCTCGGGGACATTATTTTCTCGCGACGTTTGTCAGATAATACCTTTCGTTCTCGACCCCGTCTTCAAACGACAAGCTTTCTTACCCGTAACCGCGACAGATTAGCCAAACTTGAATTGACTTTGCAAAAAGCGCAGTTGGAACATTCGTTTTACTTAATTATCGCGACGTAATTTATTTCTCTTTAATTATTGATTTTTGGTTCTTAGGCGCGTGTTTGCTCAATCAAACGTTTCTCTTGTTTACGACACGTGCGAGATTTTATTTATTTTATAAAACTGCGAGAAAAAGAAAGTCATTTACATTTTTTTTTTTTTGACATCTCAGAGGTCGCGCGTATCGATGTCTCGAACGACCTTTTGAAATACGTTCGATGTAGCCAACCGCGGTTGATCGCATCTACACCGGCCATGGTCTACCATAACTCCGGAACCTTGACCTTTGACCGCTCGTTATTCGCTTGATATTTTAAGTCTCGCGGAAACCGCCCGCGGTCTCGAGGCAACGCACGCCACACACGCGAATCAACGGAATCGTTAGAGATTTCTCCGAAGCAATATTCCTTAAATCAGAGACGATCGTTATCAGTCACGTGCAGGCCGAACAACGTGATTGGCAACGCGCACGGATAATTGATGTTTAATTATAACATAATTGTAATATAATTATTTCTTTTCTACTCTTTGATTTTACAATAATGATTACAATGAAAATTGCTTCGAAAATATTCTGAACAATTAATCGATAACATTTTCTGTGAGTTTTTTTTTTTTTTTTAACTTCTTCGTACAAGTTTAAAAGTAATAAAACTCGTTTCGTGCGACGAAGAATTTTTTTTATTATACACAATGTACATGTTTATATTTACAAACTACATATATATTAATTATATTTTGTACAATTAAGTTTGGAACTTCAAGTAGAACAAGGATGTCTTGTTTTGTGTGCGCAGAAAACGGTCTTCTTTCTTTCGAAAATCCCAACTATCATCTCGACCCGGCTAGACTGGACGATGCTCTGAACAGCAACGGAAATGGGAGCTCCCTGTACGACGAATTGTATCAGGAATTGGTCAGCAGCGGCGGCAGAGGCGGCGAGGTGACCGGCGGCGGGGGAGGGGGCGGCGGTACGAGGGTGCAGGCACGCAGAACCTACGCCACGTTGGATCTGGGCAGCATGGGGGTGGACGTCACTCAGGGCCCTCTCACTCAGGATTCCGTGACGGATGACGCTTCCGACAACACGGAAAACCATAACCTAGGGTGAGTAACCATTATCTTACCGTCACGTTCCTCCCCTCCTCTCTTTCTTTCTCCCGACAAATGGTTTCCCCGATTCTCGTCGATGAAGAGATATTACCGCACGTCACGATGGAAATTAAAGACGTGACGTGAAAATACGGCGAATATAAGTTTCGACGTCATTTCTCTAACCTCCTCCCTCTTCCCCCCCCTCTATCTTGACACATTTCTACATTATGTTCTTTCTTCAGGACGAGATTTTTGTCTTCGTCTTTCCGCGATTAATTTTCCACCCGAAATCGCGTTCTGAGTTTGTGGAAAAAGGATCAATACTTTCAATATTCGGATAAATTTATATCCCCCGACCGATTTCGTATACAAACTGAGCTTTACGCGGCACAGTAGTAGTCTTTTTTTTTTCATCGAGGTTTCATACTTTCGTTCTCGGCCCACTGAGACATCCGGGAAATCTCTCTTCGAGGTGTAGGAAAATGGAATAAGCCTTCGAGAGAGAGAGAGAGAGAGAGAGAGAGAGAACGGAACTATCTCCGTCTCTCTTTTTCCGTTCGTAATATAAGGCCACCCATCGCGCCGACCGTCGATAGAACCTTCGAGTCGGACCTCATCGGGAGGATACCGCATAAAATTTCAATAAATCCGGGAACGTGGAAGAGGAGAAGGGTAGGAGAGAGAACGAAGAGAGAGAAAAAGAGAGAGGATGGACTCGGTAAAACGAACGGTCGATAGTACAAGACAGTTCGAACTTATTCGCGACTGTTACACGAATTCGGCTCGCAGTTTTCGCGTTACAGTTGGAAATTCACTTCTCTCTTCTTTTCTTTCTCGCATTTCCATCGGGACGGTCCGCCGGGGCTCCTGCCATTGTCGGACTTCGCTATCGAGTTTCCGGGGGCATATTTAGAGATAACATGAAATCGTGATTGCGCTCATAAAATCGGAGAAACGCGCGTACGAATCGCAATCTTCTTTCTCAAAAAAAAAAAAAAAAAAAAAAAAAAAAAAGAGTTAAAACATTCATGTAAAGTATATATTGCGTACATTAATTTTTTATATAGTTGATAAAATCAAGGTTTAATACGTAATTGGTTTGGACGGTTATTTGATACGCTTGAAATTTCCCAACTAATGGCAAAGCGGGAAGCGCGCGGTAGCGATTTCGCGATTTCATTTTCAGCGAAAGAGTCAAGACGCATTAACGGTTAGCTACGGACCTCGTGAAAGAGTCTCTCTCTCTTTTTCTTTCTCTCTCTCTCTCTCTCTCTCTCCGGCTGCGGTATAATAAACTCCTTTTCTTCCCTCGGACCCTTTAGCCGATCCGGAAATCCGAGCGAGCATAAAAATGCAATTAAGGAAATGCACGACATCTGGCCGCGTGGGTGTGTTTCTTTTTCTTCTCTCTTTCTCTCTCTCTCTCTCTCTCACTCTCTTTTTCTCTCTTTGAAAGATGTCTTCTTGTTTCTTTTTTCCTGAATTTTTAATTTTAATTCCGCTTGTCACTTCTTCCTTGAATTTCTTTCTTCGCGCTTTCACAACGTGACAAAAGGTAATGTGAGCGTAACGGATGTTAGGAAAAAAGAGGATTTCTCTCGCAACCGCGCGTTTAAAAATTACAAAAAAAAAAAAAAAAAAGACCTCAGGGCTTGAATGACTGAAATAGAACATACGTTTCTCACAGTTAATAATCGCTGTTTGTGTGCGCGCGCAGAATATTTTTAGTTAATATGTAAAACGTGTACTGTTGCATACAGTATGTGCGTAAACGGAACATTGTTCTGTTCGCGACGTGTTACGGTACGTGATACACAGAAAAGTTCATCTCATGTAATTTCAAAGGGAAAACGGTCGACTGCTCGTTTCGTACTGCTTTTTCTCGTGTAGCTCCCCTTGTTTGCCCCGTGTTGTCGGTAAAATGGCGAACTAAGGTAATGACGCTATCAGCCAACGAGAATACGGCATTTCTGATCGAATTTTACGTGCGCACGGTAGGGCGTGAACGGGGAGACGAAAAGCGAATTTCACTGACGACGACGACGACGACGACGACAAGATGAACGACCTGGCGAAGACTTTCATCGTGGCACCATGTTAACTTGATTTAACGTGATGCGCTGCCTAACGTACGCAACGTTACGTCATTAGGTGCTCGACACACCGGAATAGCTTCGTTCTTGCCTCCGGAATGTCTCAGCGAAGATATCGCTGTTGCAAAATCGATAACTATCATCGCCGCGTCGCGTTTAGCATCGATTTTACGAGCTCGCGAGAGAGTTTTTGCCACGCCGAAACGATATAAAATTTCACAGAGGAATTTTTTTCGTATTTTCAATTATTTTATACACCTCTTTCATTTACGCACGCGCGAGCAATGTCGTCGATATTAAAAATACAATTTTCTTGTAAATTTGACGATTAAAATTAATACGTCGCGCGCAAGACTTCGATAATAATTTGCAATTTTCGCGGAGTGTTTTTTTTTTTTTTTTACCTAAATCATGCGATTGAGAAGTCAGGAGATTTTCATGGAGTAATATCTCAAGAACGACTGAACCAATCACTTTCGTTTTAATCTCAATCGCTTTAGGACAAAACACTAACAAAAAAGTATTCTTGCGTTTTTTAAAGTCACGTGACAAAGAGAAGAGAAAAAACACCACGTGACTAAAGTAACGTGACTATACTTTTTAGTCACGTGTTTTTAAAAACGTAACTAAAGGTCACGTGACAGAGAGGAGTAGAAAAACAACACGTGATTAAAATAAGACTCAAGTACAGTCACGTGACTTTACTTTTTAGTATAACGTGTTGTTTTTTACTTCTCTTTCTCACTATTTTTTGAGTGTGATTTTTATGCGATATATCTGACATCTCTCGTATGTACATCATGTGTATTATATGGTTTGTAAGACGTGTATACTAGCTGTTATCGCGGTGACAGATTGTGTTCATTGACACAACACTGTAAAATAAAAATAATAATAGCGTGCGCGTAACGCGCGCCTGTGTTGTGTTAATATTCGAAATTGTAATTGCGTGTAACAAGGCGCGAGTTGCGTTTTAGATAAAAACCGCGCAATCAGCAATCACAGGTGCGGTGAACCTTGTTGCGAGAGGCGTTTATCAAACGCGTAGCCGAGCTTCGCTTTGCCGATAAGCGCGTCGATAGCTTCCTGGATAAAAAAAAAAAAAAAAAAAAAAACTCTACGGTCGCGCTACGTTTCACAATTTCACTTCGGACGTCTACTTTGTCGCTTCCCGGGGGAAGAAGAAAGGAAATGGCGGTGAAAGGAGGAGGTGGCGCAACACAACAGACGTAGAAGACGCGCGAACTCGAAGACGACGGAGCACGAAACGTTGCGACGTTTCCACTTCCGACTGGATATTAGGCGATAAGCTGAGGGCGAGGGTGTGCCGGCGGTTGAGTCACGATAGAGCAGAAGGTGCAAGAAAGTGTGTGTATGTGTGTGTGTGTTCGGAGATTGAACTCAATCTAAACTTACGACAAACTTCGTCGACGCGTCCTCATACCTCCCACGCTATCTCTCATACCTCTGTCGATTCGCCATCTACAACCTCCGACCTTGTTCGCGATAGGGCAGAGGTGACGTCCCGAGACCAAACGGATTACATCCGCGCGAGGGGAAACTCGCGTCGGCTACGTGGGCGGAAAGGAAAAGCAACTTTCTTTGAAGACGAAGTCGCCTTTCTTTCAACCTAAGTGGACTCGCCTGAGAGATTATTGCGTAACGAGAGCGCACAGAAGAAACTTTCAAATAATTATGTCGCGAAATAGAATAACAGCTCTTGCTCTTACAAAAAAAAAGAAAAAAAAAACTCAGAAAGATGATTGAGTTAAGCTTAAAATAAACGACTCGCGAACGTTGTAAAAAGAGATTGTGCAGCGAAAATATGCGAGTTTTCTTAATTTACGTGCAGATATTTGCTTGTAACGAAGTTTAATCTGCGAGAGAGATGTGTGTTAACGCTTTCGTTGCAAATAAACGAGCACGAAAATTACACCCGTGAGGTCAATTTAATATAAAAAAAAAAAAAAGGAAAAACATTATGTACGCGCGTGATGATTCATGGTTTCACGTTATAACTTTTTTAATAACTGCGACTTTTCTTTCTTTATTCGCCGAAATACACACACACACACACACACACACAGCAAAGAGCAAAGAAATATAATTAACTTAAAAAAAACAAGATGCATTTGCAAAGAAATGAATTTAAAAAATTAGGAGTCTGCGAAGACCTACCGTCGGCAATTAAAAATCGCTTCAATTTCACATTGCCTTAAAAATTCAGTTTTCTCTTTTTCTCTTGTTAATGAATTCGCCTCGCTCCCCGTATCCGGGACGTATCCTCATGAAATTCAAAAACCCGGGGCGCGGAGTCGCGCAGCGCTCCGAGTAAATCGCGTTTCATCGCACCGAGTCGATGAAAAGTGGAAATTTCCGCGCGAAAAAGGAAGCGCTGATAACGCGCGAACGAGGTTATCGGGCTGGATCTATGTGTGTGTGTGTGTGTGTGTGTGTGTGAGACGGGGGTGGAAAAGAGGGAGTTGAATTATGTCGCGACTCCCGCGATTTCGCATCGCCAGTTTCCAGCGTGATAACAAAAGTTACGCGTTGTACGGTGTCTAAGATATAATTTTCTTTTACGCGCTGTCGGCGTTAAAGTAAACTCTCTCTCTCTCTCTCTCTTCGCAATTTCTTGAAGAACTTTCCTTCCACTATAGTCGGACGGGATAGTGAATATAAATAAACAGTAAAAGCACCTCGCAAAAAAGAAAGAAAAAACAACATCTGCCGCTCGCGCGAGTCGCAACTCGACCAATGCCTCGCGGGTGACGTGGAGATCTCTCGCTGTTTTGTGATAACAATGATATGCATGTGTGTGTTAGGTGGAGAATTTAATCAATTGTGCGCTGAGCAAATGTAATTAATTAGAAGAACCTATTGCGCTGCAAATGTTCAAAATTGAAGTTGCGGATAAAA